AGCAATGTAAGTTGTGGATTGTATAAGGGTTGGGTACCCCTTGTACCCAAGGAAATAAATTTTTGGCTTATCAAAAAAAAAAAAAAAAACTTACCATACTTAAATTATATTCTTTCCAATCATACTCCAATGGTCATAATCCTTTGAGCAATTTTAAGGTATATATATCACATCTTGAAGTAGAGAAAAGAGCTTTCAACCTTAGAAACAAAGAGAGATTGAGCTTCCACTTTTGTTTTTTGAGAGATCAACTCTTTTATATTCTTGTTCTTGTTCTCTTTCATTGTAACAAGTGATAGAAGAATTGGGGAAACCTTGTTAGATTCAGTAATCCATCCTTGAGATATAGGAAGTGTTGTGAGATTTATAATAAAGCAATTGAATGGTTCAATAGCACCCGTAAGCTATTGGGAAAGTGATTGGGTAATCTTGTTAAATCTAGAGAAAACCAACCTTGTGGTATAGGATTGGATTTGTGAGAGATTGTAACAAGGGGTTGAATTGTTGAAAGTGGATAGCACTGACAAAATTATTGCAAATAGTTGCCTCTACACTTGAAAGTTCGAGAAGAGATTTTGAATCCAAAACTAACTCTCAAGTAGGTGGCTTAAGAAGTGGACTACACACAAATTGTGATCGAACTACTATAAATCCTTGTGTTTGAGCCTTCTCTTTCCTTAACTTTTAATTTTTATACTTTAAATTAGTTGTTTGCAATTGCTTGTGCTTCTTCACTATTTGGTTTTTGAAGTTATAAAGTTTTTGAAAATCCAATTCACCTCATCTTGGGTTGCCATCTAGGCCAACATATTTAATTGGTTAACTATCAATTTTAGTGCTTAAATTTTGAATTTTGAACACTTTTAATTTTAAAATTATTTTCAAATTTTTTTATCTCTCAATTGTAAAAAAAAAAAAAATACTTATTTCATTAATTAAGTGGTGATCTGGTCGTTAACTCATTTAATATTTAATTTTTAAAATTCTTTATGACATGTTCATTATAGATGAATCTGTCAGTTTTGTTAGACAAAATATATATGTAGAGTTTATATTTGCAATTTTAGCATAAATGGATAAAATAATAAATTTAAAAAACTAGAAACTATCCAACATAAAATTTATTTATAAATTAAAATATTTGAATCTACAAAATGATAAAAATACCCTTAAAATCTTTTTTTCCCCTTCTTTGGGAGTGTTTGTTTCAGATGTTAGAGAATAGCTATCAGCAGTTAGTCCTAATCGAGTGGTTCAAACATTTTGAATTATAAATAATAAAAATTATTTTATGTTAAATATTGATTATCAATCAGGAAAATGATAGATTCACCCTGTTGTCCTACACACTCCATTATACCCTTCATTTTCCGTTACTTTCGTTAATTACACCATTAACCAGCCAACCCTTTCTTTCTC